GATTCAGTCTGGAGAGATTCTGTCTTTGAGGTGGAAGCTAATAAATGCAACAGAACTGTATTTGTACTGTCTTGTGGAGTTCCTTGGGCTGAACCCAACAGCGGCTCACATTAAGCAGAATGTTGGTGGTTTCATTGCTCTTCAGTTCTGGGGTCTGCTTTCCTTAGTGAATACTGGAATACAAGAGCCTCTAGGGCTTTTTTTTTCACACACACCCCCCATCTATAAAGTGAAGGTAAAAACATCTCTAAAGAAGTTATAAAAACCAGTTATTTCTGAAATATTTGGATCCACTGATTAACGTTTCCAACAAAAGACTGCAAATAGAATTTTTCCCCAGTATTTGCCTGACCAAAATAGGCATCTATCATGAGAGTTGTTTGTGACATTTTGCGATATTCCTTCTCCCTGATTTATTATTAGTTTTTATTCCTGTTCCACATTCCATCCCTATTTTAAGCCTTTGGGGGATGCAAAATATGATGAATGCTAGAGGAAGAAAACCAATGGCACAGGTTGATCTTTCCTGAAACCTGAAGATCAGCCTTGCTGGAACAAATGGGTTCCACTGCTGGGGCTTTAATCAGCCTGAAATCCGCTCACTGGTGGCTGGGCAGAGAAGAGATCCGGGGCCCAGGCTGCCCTGACCTAATGCAGCTCAGCCGCAGTCCTTAAGCAGCCAGTTTTATCAGAGATTATTGCTGCACTTACACAGGGCACCTGCAAAATGCTATGCTTTAGAAGGGATTAGAGCTGAAGGAAACAGTGCTTCAAAAGAGAAATAACACAAAGAAGGATGTGGAGAGACAAGAGGGGGGTGTGCTGGGCTGGGCAGAGGTTAGCCATTGTTCCTTCTCTTCCATGTTGCTGCCATCTTGCCTCTGTTTTCCACCCTCAGTCTTGCTTCCCAACCAGCATCACCTGGCCCAGCTGCAACTCTAAAAAGGACAGATTCATGCAAGCCAATTTTGGGCATGTTTTCTGAGAAGTCCACTGGATGCATCCTTCATGTTAACTTGAACACTGTCTGCAATGTACCCCAGTTGTTTGATTGATTTTAAAGTGAGATAAATGCCATGCAGTGCTAATAACACTGCTTGGAAACAATTTTTCCCCAAACTTACAAACATTACACTTTTTATAAGAAAAAGTGCAGTTTTAAAATAGTTTTTCAAAATCTAATTTAACCGAATTACTAATTTATGCTAACTTTTACTGGATTTTTTAAAGCTTGTTTTTTAGTACTTTTAATATTAGGTGTGTAGTCATCTTTTTAGAATGAAATCACAGAATTTAGGTTTGGAATAAAGTCCCCCCCCCTTTTTTTTTTCTTGCTGAATCTGTGTCCCAAATTGTCTTGGTCTCTGTGGAGGATACATAAGACAGACATATTTAAATAAGCAAACAGGCAATTAAAAGACTTCTTCTTGTCCAGGGTGACTCACAATGTGATCTACTACTATTCTACTACATCTGCACAGTGGAGGACACAGCCAGACAGCCTCATTGAACTACAGTTCTCCATTCCTTAAGCCAACAAAAAATATGCTGGCATAAAATTTGCTGCTCTGATGGCCAAGCTCTATTCTGCCTATGAAATGAGGCCAGAAAATAGTACTGTACTTACAGTTTTAATGTAAGAAAGTCAAGGGAAATTATTAGTGGATTCTCCTGAGTTGTGTTTCCTCTCCAAGGGAAAAACAACCACTGTTGTTGAATGGGATGGGATGGGGCTTGGTCAAGAGTAAGCAGGTGCTTGGCATAGCAGGTTTGCCCAACTAACAGATAGCAGGCACAGAGGTGCTCTCTGGCTGCAACTTTTCAGTTGAGCTATTTCTGAACATGGTCTAGAACACTTCTGATAAGGCTAAACCCATGTCCAAATATACCACAGCTGGGAGAGGGTTGGCAAGGAGGAAGAGCATGGGCTGAAGCTGGTAGGAAATGGAGCTCTCCTGATTCTCCAAGAAACTCCCTCTCTCTTCTGCATTTGCCATCTGGCAGCCAAACTAATTTTGGACACAGGCTTAGCACTTTTTCAAAAGAGCCCCTAACTTGTGTATATAAGTAGCCTGCAGAATTGACCAGCCCTTCAGAAAGCCTTGATTGGGCACTGCATGGGCAGCCTCTCTAATCTCTTCTGCAACCCCCCCCCCCCCCCCAAAATGCACCCACGAACAAACAAAATGGGGGGGGGGGGGGGGG